TTTAAATGAATGGTTATTGTCATGGTGTAAAGAACAGAAACTGCTCTTTGTTAATAATTGGAATCTTTTCTGGGAGCTTCCTAGGCTTTTTCACGCTGATGGCCTGCACCCCAGCAGAGTCAAAGCGGAACTCCTGTCGGACAACATCTCCAGGATTCTACGCACCATATGACTAGTAAGTCAAATCTCAAATAACTGCCCTGATGACTTTTGTTCTACCCGCTTAAATGATAGAAGTACTTGCGCTGTACAATCTATAAAGACTGTGTCTGTTCCCCGAATAGTGAGGTCAAAATATAAATCTGTTCAGCCCAGCTAGCATGTGAGCACAGTAGCAGCCCTTTGAAGGCTGTTTACTGCATAGGAGCCATGCTGAGCACACTAGAATGCCAATCTGTGACACCACTGACACCTGGCATGTAAACATCTATAATAATTCCATCTTCAAATGTCATGTGGTGTTGCCCTTTCTTACCTTTGTGGACTGCAACAGTCTGCTTTTTTCATATAATCCACTGGAGTTGAGATCAACTCGCTCACTCTACTCTTTCTGTACTATGCAAAATCACTCTGGACCCCTCACATCCAGCACACTCCCTCTTTGAACTGTTGCCATCTGGTCGACGCTACAGTGCTCTGAGCACCAGAACGGCCAGACACAGGAACAGTTTCTTCCCTCAGGCCATCACAGGCACAGTTTCTTCCCTCAGGCCTCTCATGAACACTTGACAATAACTGTGGAACACACACTATTTATTCACTCATACACTTATTTATCTAACACACATACTCAGTCTACATTTCAATTTGCACATAATATACCTGTACATACAACTGTCTATTGTTCTATACCTGTACATACAATTGTCGATTTGTATATTTTTTATTCCTTATTTTACTTGTTCTATTTTTTTTTTATTTTTTTTTTTTTATTATCTGTGTTTTTTTGTTCTGTCACTGTCATTCTGTTACACTGTGGAAGCTTCTGTCACGAAAACAAATTCCTCGTATGTGTAAACATACCTGGCAATAAAGCTCATTCTGATTCTGATTCTGAACTTGAATTTAATTTAATTTAATTGATGCAGGATCACTGGCAGAAAACTGGTTTCTCAGCTTTTTGGAGTAGTTTCTCTTTGCCACTCTGATCTCCTTTGTCAGTGTGTTTTTGACAAGTCCCCACTCCTGTAGGCATCTTCTTTGGCCTTACGGAGCTGTCTGAATTTTGCAGTGAACCACGGTTATGAAAATGAACAAGGAAAACTCCCGCGATGAATACAATGGCTTACAGTTGATGAAAAGAGCTTCTAGATCAGGACAGCACATCTTCTTTAACGTTGTTACATCTGTACACCACCTTTCGTTGATGTAAAAGCATGTTCCACCGCCACGTGATTTCCCTGTTGATTCTGCGTTGCGATCCGCTCTGAACAGCTGGAAGCCCAGCAGATGTAACGCGCTGTCCGGAATGGCTTCATTCAGCCAGGTTTCAGTGAAACACAGAGCAGCAGATTTTGAAAAGTCCTTATTTATTCAGGAGAGAAGAAGAAGTTTGTCCATTTTGTTGGGTAGAGAGTAGAGATTCGCCAGATGCATACTAAGCAGCGGCATTCTTAAGCTGTGCTGTCTGAGCATGACAAGCGTGCCGGCTCGCTTCCCAACAAAACATTAGGATAGTCGAAAACCGGTGAAATATTTGTTGTTTACTGCCAAATGTTCAGCAATTAGTCCCTAGTGAAACTGATTGCAGGAATATAGCTAAAAACAGGACAAACTAACAAAAACATTAAAACAACTGTGGAGCTCCACACTGAGGCAGCCATCAGCAGCGCCATTTTGTCTCATTTCTTATACACTTGCAGCATATTATGCATAGTCAAGTCAAGTCAAGTCAAGTTTATTTGTACAGCGCTTTTCACGATACAAATCATTGCAAAGCAACTTTACAATTAAGTTTTCTGGTTTAATCACGATAAGATTTTTTCTAGATCCTGCATTAAATTTATATTTTGACCTCACTATTCGGGGAACAGACACAGTCTTTATAGATTGTACAGCGCAAGTACTTCTATCATTTAAGCGGGTAGAACACAAGTCATCAGGGCAGTTATTTGAGAATAGTATGCAAAAATGTAGGGGTTTACAAGATCCAGTCAAGAACTATAAAATGAAATTATGAGATAATAACTTTACAAGTGCAACATTTAATAGTTTTAGTTATGTTTTTGGAACAGTGTCCTACAAACACATAACCACTGAACAGGAAAATGCCTTTCAATTTACTGCACAGGCTGCATGTGTGAAACTGATGTCCCTAAAAATATATAAAACACTTAGTGAGTGTGTGTTGATAATAAACTCACCTTCCTCCATTGCAACCCTGAGGCCACCTGCAGGTCTGATAGACTCTCTGGAGAGTGGTGCCATTCTGCACCTGACAGGTCACTGTTTTAGTCACTGTCTGCGGACACCAGTTCCTAACAGAGAGAGAGAGAAATATGAGAATCAGAGTAGAGCAATCTAATTGACCTCCATCCTGTACTGGATGGTTCTGATGACATAATAATAACACACACACACACACACACACACACACACAGCTGGCCATACAATTATCTAATCCAACTCCCACATACTGTAAAAGTGATCAATGTTTCATGGGACACCCATCCTTCAACAGTCTAACCATCTTCTTTGAAAACTCTTTATGATGTTTACGCAGGTTAAATGACCCGTATGCCCAGCAGGAGAGCATTGTCAGTGCTGTTTACTTTGCGGTCTTTCGCTAGCAATACACATCTGCCCATTTTTATTCTTTCCGCAGCACTACAAGCAGATCAAGTCATGGATGGGGGAAGATGTCCTGTGCGAGTGAGCGTGTGGACTCCTCAATTAGATTTAAGACAGCTTTTAGAAACTCGAGCCAAAAACCCGAGCAGAGGCACAGTCTGCGGGAGAAAGACTGGTTCTTTTGTGCTGCTTTTTATCAGGGCTTCACTTCACACAGCTGGAAAAGCCCAGAAACATTTTGAGGCACTCAAAAAATGGCTTAACATGAGTGACTGCTGACAAAACCCTGAGTTAGGTGCCCATTTATTTTGTTCGACTGATTAAAAAAAAAAATTTAAAAAAAAAAAAAGCATGAATTTCTAATCTGGCCCAGCTTGCACTGCAAAAAAAAAATATATATATATATATATAGAGAGAGAGAGAGAGAGAGAGAGAGAGTATAGTGACAAATATTGTGATATATATTATTGTGAACATTGCCATTAAAAAATCCTTCAAAATGTATAAATTGGGATGCTATAGCCTATATATAGGGTGCTGTGTGGTTTTTTTCCATTGTGCAATAGCCTACACAATAACACAAGGCAGTTTGATTTTACACTCTGACATTTTTCAAAATAAATATTTAAATATTAAAAATTATTTTAATAAATATAGTAAATATTAAAATATTATTCCCTCAAGCTATTTGTCAAATTACAGTTTGAAAGAAATATTTCAAATTATTGATTTGATCTGTTTTTTTTTATATGTGGGAATGAGAAAATTGAGAAGATGTGCAATATCCGCAATTCCACACCAAAATCCAAACCCTGATTAAAGATCAATACTTGGCATCCATGTCTCAATATAATATATACCCATACAAACGTATCGATTTTTCCCCCACCCCTGCATATACATATAAAATCCTGACTGCCCTAAAAGGCAGCTTTGTAGCATAGAAACTTACTCAAGGTATGGTTTCAGTCATGGTCTCATTATTTAGCAGAAAATACAAACAAGAGAAACAAGCCTGGGAGTCAAAAGTCATCTGGAAAGTTTGCCACGGTAATCATTAAATGTGCCCTACATAATGTGGAACTTTCTAATTGGGAAGCCAGTGGCAAATCCAGCCCTGATGAGGAGCAGACTAGAGGCAGGACAGAGGAGAGGAGAGGAGAGGAGAGGAGAGGAGAGAAAGAAACACGGAGAACCAAGACAAAGCTGCGCGGCACAAGCCCAGACTCTCGGCACATGCTAGAAGTCACAAAAGAAAGGAATGAAAACGTGGGTTTGAAGAGAAAAACCAATCAGATCTCTTTCCCCCTGAGTTCCCTCATGATTTTTACACAGAATGACTTGAAACAAAGAGCCATTGATAAGTTCACCTCAAACAGACCTTTGTATGAACCATTATGCCTCAAGTTGAGCAAACATAAGTCAAAGAGATGTGGAGCAGAATTCAAAGAGAGTTAATGCATGTGTAATATATGGAGGTCATTATATCTACTATACTTCAGTGGTTATTATCAATGGCTCAGCTTATGCATAGCTATGATCACACACCAGGAAAACAGGCCAGAGGGCCGTTACATGCTCAATAATCAGAATCAATCTGCCTGGATTACTGTATATTGTCCATCTGTGGCATTGCATGTGTGTAGAATTTTTAGGGATTGATGGTATTATGGCAGCGTTTTTTATGGCATGATACAACAGCCAAAGAAATTAATTTTAATTATGTAAATTCAATACTAGGAGGTTGACTGGTTAAAGATTAGTCTCTCTTTAACCTAAAAATATTTTTTTATTTAATACTTAAATATAATTATTTTTACATAAAATACCTTCCTCCATTGCTAAAACTATGGCCCACAGAACCAGCCCTCAAATATTCCAGAAATTTCCAAAGCCTATGCATTTTAGGTGGTTTCCATGCCCCGCTTTAGACGAGGACCCAGGGACTCAGAGTCTGGAACAGAACTGGGGTGACCACAGGCTTATCCGGTCACTACCTGCCCAACTGCTCCGGCCCAGCCAACAAACACACCCAGACTGGACACACAAACACAGAAGCCAGTCTGGCCACAGCTGAAAATCATGGAGCTATTTTTGTGATCTGCTTGTTATTGAACCTAAAACTACAAATCATACCCTTGTCATTCTCTAGGAAACACAGAAACGCACATTCAAACTCTACCATAAATACAACTACACAAAAAAATATATATATACTGTATATATATATATATATATATATATGCTCTTCAAAGCTTGAAAACTCCATCCAAAAAAAAACATCTTTAATTAAAGTCATATGGGTTTGTAATGACATGATGATGAGTAAATTATACCAGAATTGTAATTTTGTGGTGAACGGCATTTGTACAGTCACATCACCTGTCAACACTAAATCGTGTAAATTCACCTGAGCAAAAACTATCACATATAATTGCTTCCATATTTCGCTGTGATTTCAGTCGCACTGAACCCCATCGCACTGATTCTGTCCATTTAGCATCATTTTAGCCTGCAAATCTGCTACATAAGTTGAACGGACACAGAAATGGGCCGAACTCACTCACAGTAGGAGGAGACATCCAAGCAATGGACAGATAAAGATCTAGAGCGGCACAGCCATCAGAACACAGTTCCCACACTGCCCCCAATCACAATGGCAGTTTGGTGAACAGGGTGATTTGTTCGAGTTGTTCACCCCCCCTCTCCTCTAATCCAATCCAGACTTCATCTGGTACTTTGCCAAACTGTAACTTCAATGAACCCCTCTACTCTAAAACACAAATGTACCTAAAAACCAATACCCTCTCCATTTTAGAGCATACAGCATACAGTGCATGGCATTCTCTGAATCTTTGTGAAAACATTCTGGACACAGACCAGCTCCATATGAACTAATGAGAAGATTTATAGGGAACAAAAGCCTTTCAATGAGAAATGACCCCTCGCCCACTTTCTGTACAGAGAGAATGAGAAAAGGGCAGCTAAACTCTGCTTTGATCCAGATTTAAACCTCAGGGCAGGGAGAGACAGAGGGTTAAAAGAGAAGGAGCAGTACTTACAGACCATTATTCCTGTAATCTAACATCTCTCCTTCACAAAGCATTTATGAGGGCTCATTATGCAACCCAGTTATCAGCCCACACTCTAATTCTCACTACAATAACAGTTCCAGTTATTGTTGTGCCTTGAAAATAGTTCAGTAATGTGAGATATAAAGAGCCATCAAGAATCATTTTTCATTACAAATTATTTAACTTGGCTATATGGTTCTTTAAGGTTCACACCGCTTCAACAAATCCCAAAAAACACCAAATACGCTTTTTGGTCAGTGTGAACATGACAGCTCCAGAATGTTTTGCAACATTCAAAATACCAGTCTACCACAATAATATAGTGCAATTTTAAAATAAAATAACCATGCTAATAATTTAGCACATTATGAATAAATAAATACAATTAAAACTAAAACAAACAAAGAAAGAAATAAAAAATGAACACATTAATTTAGTGCAATTTAGAATGAATGAATAAACAAAAAACACGGCTAACAATTTAACACATTCATTTAGAGCAATTTAGAACAAAAATCTATAAATACATAAACAAATAAATCAGGTCTAACAATTTAGTGCAATTTAAATCCCTTCCAAATAAGGTAAAAACAGACCATTTCATTCTAGGGACAAATCCTAGGGTTGTAAATGGACATGTAAAACCGTTTCTGGAGATTTTTTGCCCTTACCTAAGCCACATACCTTCTATGAAGATATCAGAGAACAATTTAAAATATTGTATAAATGCATTCTATGGCACCTTTAAACTAAATAAATAATAAACCTAATTAATTATCATGACCTGAATGAACAATTTAACTATTTAAATAAAAAATAGTGCAGAATAAAGAATGCAAGATTGTATCATTGTAAACTTGTAGACTGTGGACTGACTGACAAACTTCACTACAAAATTTGATTCCTCAACTTCTGTTAAATGTAGGCCAATGATAGGCTGATGCTTAAAGACATGGAAATAAACAAACAAAATTCTGTCTTAAAGCCACCTTTCTATAATTAATCCTTTACACATCCACCACATTCTTAGTTCCGTGCCACATTCCACTACATTCCAGAGTGGTGCGGTGGTTAATGATCCACTGAGACTCTAGACAATCCCTGTAAAGAGTATACTGTGAATTGCTTTCAATAAAAGCATCTGCTAAATGAGTACTTGCATACTTTTCTTTCTAAATGAAGGTAATTGAAGCACAAGCGATTACAGCATCATATTTATTGGCCTGTTCAAAACACATTGCACTGAAAGCTTCATTGACGTCAATACTGCTTCTAGCTTCATTGTGCCTGAGATATGCGGTAGGTAATACAAGTCCAGTTAAAAGGTGTGAAAGCTTTCAACAGCCCAGCAATGCTACATTTCACTGGCATTAACATGCACTTGGCCAACAGATTGAAAAACTGACTCTCTTCCTCACATACACACATGGGACCAGAAACGTAATAAATAACTCTGCAAAGCACAGAGATCATCGCAGAGACTGTAAGGGGGAGATAACTCAAATCAGAAAGGGATGGCAGGAATCACACAGAGCTGGACTGAGTGCAACTCAGCACGCAGCGAGCGGCAAACAAGCCAAGGCTATTAAATAAAAGCAGCAAAACGCACACATGCATACAAACCAGAGGAAAGATCGTGAAACTGACTCATTTCAGACAAAAGGAAAAGCAGTGCGCTTCATTTAAAGCATGAATGCTAGCTTTCAACACACAATGCGTGAGACGCAAATGTTGACTCCTGCAATGTAGCACAGACTACAAAGATTATTGACTCTGGAGGCAAATAAATTAAGTTTGAACAAGAAGACAATGGAAAGCTGTGGCAGCTGGACAGGACGGGTGGAAAGATAGCATTTCATCATCGGGTCAGTAATGAAGCCCTCCTGGGATAACCCAATTAGGCCGCGCTCATGACGTCCAATACTAGGCAAAACAGTGAGGGATGAATAAGATTAATGGGCTGCTGAAAGAAAGCATCAAAAAGTACTAAAAGAGAGAAAAGAAAGAAAGAACGACAAAGCAAAGCAGAAATGAGCAGGAACCCTCTTCTGTCCCTGAGATTTGCTCAAGAATGGTTCAAAGGACAGGTCAAAGGCCATGGTGGGAGACAGTCCTTCTCCAGGGTCAGATTTAAGGACCAGCCTCACAAGATAAACAGCCCTGAAGCGGATGATATGGATGAGTGAATGCACACACAGAAACACCCATAGATCATGACGATGATCAGTGCATATTTCCCTAAGTATCTCTATCCTCACAGTGAAACCGATTCCTTGATTGATTGATCTGAGTTTCATGTGATGATGTTGATTTACATCTGACAACATGTGAGAGTGCTGCAGCATTTGTTTTCTGTTTAGAAGATCTTATTTTCCAAAACAGGGGCTGAAATTCTGAAACATTCTTAAGAATAACATTTTTATTAACTGCCATTTTCTTCCTATTTCCTAACTTAGGAATAAAATTAAGAATATTTTGTATTTCCAAAAATATTTCTTAATTTTTTTCTTACGATTATTCTGAAGACAAAACTTAAGAAGAATCTGAATTCCTGAAAAGAACCATTGTAAATAACCTCGTAAAGTTAAGATAACCTCTAATAATACTATAAAGAAATACCACTGAGTAATCATGTCATGATTATGCGTGAAGTGACTTTTTTTATTTTTATTAGTGTTTTTCATTAAGTTGAACAGAAAGTCTTCGAGAACCACCACACAGTCAAAGCGTGTCATTTTCTTCTTAAGAAAAAAATGTTTTTTCTAAGAAAATAGCTTAATATCTTGTGAATTTTTCAAGAACGACATTTACAAACTTCATAGAAAGTATCTTGACAAATTCTTATACAGATGTTTGTGAATCCCCAGAACATATAAATGTGTCAATTAAAAACAAATATTTCCTCTGCCTTTTTAAAAATTTGCAATGGACTTACAATGCAGAAGAGAAAAACAAATAAAGTAAACAAAAATATATCTAATGTGTATAACCCACGGAGCAACACTTAAGCATCAAAGAGTCACTGCTTTCGTGGAGGCAGAATGAGGGTAGAGGTATGTTGGATGGTGTTGATGGGTCAGCAGTTGAAGGTCCCTCTGGGGCCCCAAGTCTCACACTCCCACCTTGAGCACTGCTCTCTAGGGCAGTGAAGCCGAGCAGAACAGGAAATAGCTGCTGACTTAACCCCCAACTGCGCTCGGCCCCTAATTAGACAGATATTATTAAGGGGCTTTTCTCAGGACATTTACGTTTCAGGCATTGTCTTGGATCGGGGTTAATTATGATTTATGGTAAAAGTTCATATGCCTGTTCAGCCTCTCCCAGTGATGCTTTAGAAAGCAGAATAAACTTTTCCTCTGTGCTCTAGCGTGGGAAACTAAATTGTGCAGGCATCTATACAGTACATCGACATGCAGTTTTAACTCATGTACAGTGAGATTCTGTGTAGCCGAACTACAGTATAAAGTATACACAACATAATGTGTAATCAAATATTTGAAGGATTAAATACATGTTGTGCATCTTTCAAAGCAAATGCACAACGCCAAGGCCAGTTGTTGTCTGATTAACGTGTATAAATGCTGCAAAAAGCCATGCTACAATCACATTTTGTAGGTCTGTTAGTCAGACTTCACAATTTTAGTCAGATACAGCATTTAAATAACATTTTTAAAAGATAAATTATTATTTTAGTCATACTGAAACTGAACTTCTAATATGCATGTTAACATAATTTTTGACAACAATGAATTGGTTTTGCTTTTATTAATCTATAGACAAAACACACTAGGGCAATTAATAAAACTTTATGATTTTGAATGCAAGACAATCAAGATAAAATATGTTGGAATATGTTGAATAAGTTAGTAAAATGTTGAGCATATGTTGTTTATAAGTCTTTAGTAGGTTGTGAAAATGCACTACAACATATTTTATATTATTTTTTATGATCTAATTTACATATTCGATAAATGAATGTTTCCACAGTCAACAAGTAATTGCATAAAATAATCAAGATCTTTGTAATTACCAAAATAATCATGATTATTTATTTATTTATTGTTTGTTTGTCGCAATCAAGCAGCCCTGACACACAATGAAATATGTTTTGCCAGGTAACCTAAAAACATGACTAGGTTGCAAAAACAAGTAATTTTTTATAAATAAGGTTAGGAAGAAATTGCTCCTTAAAAGAGATGATACCCCATGATTTAGTCAACCTCAAGCCATCCTAGGTGTATACGACTTTCTTCTTTCAGACAAACACAATCAGAGTTATATTAAAAATGTCCAGGCTCTTCCAAGCTTTATAATGAGAAGTGTAGAACGCAGAAGAGCAGTGGTGAGAGCAAAACAAAACACTGGTCACAAATTAGAAGTACAAAACAAGGATTTTTAAAGAAAAATGTTGATATAAGGCAAGAGGAGACTGGTTTTCCTTTGCTGTAAACAAAACTTGGTTCTCGTGACACTAGCATACGCCTACGTCTTACGTCATCCACTGGACGCCACTCTCTTGTGAACGCATGTACGACATTTAGCGGAAGCTAGAGATTACGGTTGTGTGCATTGAATTTATTTAATACACGAGTTTCACAATTTGAGTTGAATTACTGAAATAAATGAACTTTTCCACGACATTGTAATTTATTGAGATGCACCTGTACACCTAGGATGGATTGAAGGTGAGTAAATCATGGGACAATTTTCATTTTGGGGTAAACTATCCCCTTAAATGTAAAAAAAAAAAAAAGAAAGGCTGAACTTGATTTACTAAATTCACTGAACTTAATTAGTAAATTCAAAGCAACTGCATCTTGAGTATTTCACATGGCTTTTTAAACTATAAAACAGTTATACTGCACCTCTCAGTAAACAGTGCTGCCTATCCAAGGCATCTCAAAGATGTCTGTGACCTCTCCTCACTGCATCATCAGACAGCAGTGCAATAAACTTCCCTCTCACAGCATGCAGACGATGCAGCTGCATGTGTTTAGTAAACACCGTCTGTTTCATCAGTCTGTGACTGATAGGAGGAGGGGGTGAGAGATCAAACCATTAGTCCAGAGAGCAAAGACGACTCCAAACCTACGTACTTCAGAGGCCCTCCACCAAACATCCCACCCATAACAACTCTAAGCCATTTACCCAAATAGAGTAAATATTTACATGAAGATATGAGGGTCAGATCAAGGCCATTAGCTGTGGTCACAGGTCAGTCAAGGTGATGAGGTCTGGACAGAAGGGAGAGCTTACATGTTGTATGTTTTGTCTAATTGTATTTGTTATGCCTTGTTATGTCTCAAAAAAAGCCTAATCAACCACATGCAAAGCCAGCACTAGAGGAGGGAAATGAAAAGGATGATATACTGATAAAAAAAAACACTGCTGATTACTTCTGATTTAGCATTTCAAAAAACTTGCCTAAATATAAACCTGACAACAAGACTCCATAAATATGCAAATATTCAAAAGCTCTCTGTCCTTATGAGTGAGTTGAAGTTTGAATAAGTCCAGACAGTGATACCAATCTATTTAATGCATGTTTTAAATGGAATAAACCATGGACAAAGGTATAGACAGGAGAGATGTGTGTTCCCCCATCTCAGGAACTAGGAAACAGACTGTCAGACTCACAACAGGAGGCACATTAGGTGGAGAGCAGCGAAATCAGCATTGCATTTAGGTAGAAGCACAAACTGAATAGAATAAAACTGATTAATAGTTTATTAATCAGTCAGTCAATCTTAAACTGGTATCTGTGTTTTGGAACATGGTAGCTGGTTTCTAGCTGTTCCAAGCTGATCATTAGTTAACTGACCAGACACCGTGTTTACCAGATTTATTCTGGCCCAAGATGGCCTATTAACTTGTTACTGACCAGCTACAACTAGGTTTTCACACAGCTGAAATCTTAAACTGGATTTTCCAACCAGGAATGTGGACAGAAATTTTAAAAACACTGAAATATGAATTTACTGATCTCAGCTCTTCATTTACGAAGGCGTTGCCTCTTGTTTAAATATTTTAAAACTTTGTATAAAAACGTACTTTTCCCCTTGAAGTTTATAATTGACTGCAAACTAAAAAATAAATGGCGAACATTACTTGAAACAATGTAAAACTTCAACTGTCAACTTTTCACCAGATTTGCTTCTGTCTAACAGGTTACTTCTGTCATGTCATATAAACCTTACCTCTTGGACTGATCTTTGTGAAGTGCTGTCCCGGTCTGGTATTTGTAAACTCCGGGTCCCCACGTTCCCTGAACGCAGGTCAGCCACAGTATGAGCAGCAGCGTCCACAGGAGGAAAGAGCTCCGGTGAACCGCAGACACCGAGCGCCCGTCACGCGCTCCCATTTCAGCCGCGTCAACTTCACGGAAACCTAGTCAGCAAGATACCTCTCCTAATATTGTCCCGCTTATGTTGAAACTGTGACGAGAGAACAGATATACGACTCGCAAGAATAATTTCGGAACTGCCGTTTCTTTTTCGAGCATAAAAATAATAAAAAAAAGTTTATGTTGTTTATGTGCACTGTTGCGTCTCAAAACACGACAGTTACAGTTTCAGTTGTTTGTCATCGGCAGACCCCGCCACAAATAAATCTCCTCACAAAGTTTGCTCGCAACCCGCAAGACAAACGTTTCTCAGCAGCCACACAAACCGGTCCCGCCTCACTCCTCCATCTCCGTCTCTGTACTTTACTGCATGTATTTCTTGACTACATCAACACAATAGGCAAGAAAGCTGTTTTATAGTCGCCCTGTGTCCCACAGCCCGTGTAGTTTTTTTTCCACCCAGCCCAGTTCCCTCTCCCTCTGTCCTCTCACACATGCAGCACTCCTCCTTCCCTGCTCTTCCAGTGAAAACTTTTCGACATGAAACAAACAGATTTATACTGGTCTCTTTTAAAAAATAGAAAAAGAGACAGAAAGGCTAATAAGCAAATTCACTACCCACAGAAATGACAGCTGTTTCTCCAAGCAATACTTATTCGGAGTCTTGCAGATTTTTCTCAAGCAACCTCACCTGTCTCCTACAGAGGTTCAGAAGCGATCGGAGTCTCAAACTATGCTCAAAAAATGACCAAGAAAACAAAAATTTTCAATCAAAAGTCAATATGATCTCCATAATATAATCTCAATATGTTCTTCCAAGACAAATGCTATCAATATTTAAAAAATAAAAGAGCTGTAAAAATGTATTTACTGTACCTATGCCAAAGCACATTTTTACAAAAAATATCTGGAAAACATTTACTGTACATTAAGTTGACAGTGTTTCATTTTCTCTTCTCTAATGAAGTAATGGTAGATATACTGTAAACCTTATGAGAAACATTTTCAATTTATATTTATTCATAAACTCCACCTTTCAGTTAACAGTTCAAATGAACTATTTTTTTCTTTGAGTGAAGAACATTTTAATAATCCAAGGACCTTTTGTGCAATGGAAAGATTCCATGTTCATTGTGGAGCCATGCTGTCAAAATGTACCCCTAAAGGTACACTTTTTGCACAACATCTTGTCACTTGCAGTACCCGGGGGCAACTTTGCCCTTATCTATCCCTAAAAGTTGCATATTTGCACCTTAAAGTACTTTGAATAGGTGTTAATAAGGTACATGTTATTGCCCCAGTGACAAGCTGTTGTACCCCTAAAGGTAAAGAGTGCAGGTGCCAATAAGGAACCTTCATATAATGCCTTTCATACTAAAGATCATTTCAAATGAGTTTTACAGTTAATCTTGACAACATTTTATGAAAATCTTTTTTAGTCTTTTTTTTATTAGCTATTCGGTGGACCCCCATTATAAACGATAAATAAACATAAGAAGTGCTAAAGCATTTCAGCTTTTCAGCATTCGTCTCGCCTCTTCTCAAGCTTACACTTCAGATGGCTTAATGAGTCATTCGACTGCCATAACATGAAAACCTCCTCCAGAAGACAAAGCACAGTCTAACGTCTGGATAGCATCCAGAACGGGGCAAGGGGAGAGAGTGATACAGAATGAGAACCTCTGGAACATGGTTTACTCTAACCTCTCCTCTGCCTGGTTTCTGAAAACCGCAAAACTGTGGTCCACGTCCAAGCTAAACACCTGGCTCAGCAGGCAGGATGGACTCCAGCCCACTCATCTATATCTGAGGTCGAGGTGACTACGCTCGGCGGACCCCCTGACAGCCAGAGAAATAAGCAAAGCACGGAGCAGGGGCATCAATCACACAGGCGGCCAAGATCTGCAGGTGTTGAGGGGATGCCACTCATCATAGTTTGACATGTTTGACTACAATTTGACTAAAATGAAGGGCAAAAATGAACTAGCAGAATGTGAGGTACTGACAATGGAAAGTAGATATTAGTGCATCATATCCAATGTTTTATTGAATAGGCTTTATTCCTGCTGCCAGATCCGGTCAAAAAGAAGCAAAAAAAAAGTTACAGTGAGAGAGTGTGTGACATGACTGTTTGGTCTCTTGTTTTGCAGCTTGATCCTGTCTTTATCTCTCTACTGAGAAATGTAAAGCTCATTCGACATTGTTGCGGCATTATAATGTTGAAAACAAAATGTAAAATGCAAATTATTGCCCAGCTCTAATCTGCTAAATTGTGACTATAAGGCATGAAGATATTAAGAAATTACAATCATTAACATCATGATTTTCTGCGAAGCTGCTGTGTATTGAGAAAAGTGCTATACAAATAAATTTGACTTGACTTTGACTTGACTTAAAATTTTATAGCAATTTCAACTTGAGTTATAGTGAGATAAAAGTCAATGGAACCAAACTATAAATGTTAAAATACTCAGTTTCAAAAGCATAGCCATGAGACGTAAACAATATATGTTAACATGATTTTAGTGTGAAAAACACAAATTACTTGCTAATTATTTCTGTGTAAAGTTTATCTAATTTTACAACATTTTTCCAAAACAAATAATGCCTAAAACTCTAAAATGACTAACTTTACAGCAACAACCTTAAAGTTGCAATGGAATGGCAGTAGCAATAGATATTTTCTTCCGTATTATGATGACATCAGAGTGAAACAGATTATCTGAAAAGGTTTCACTTGGTCAACTGTAAGAAAGGGTTTGTGGTTTATGCAGACAACATGTTTCTGCTTTGAAATCCATTAAAAATTGGCCCCATTCACTTCTACACTAAGTGCCTCACCGCAATACAATAACGTTTCCTTTCAACATTATACTATAAATGCTGAAAATTGAGCTTAACTTGTACTGAACCTGAAATATTTCTATAAATTAAGCCACCTTTTGATTATTTACCATTCCAACTAAAGATTTCCTCTATTTCCCGTTTCTTTTCATCTGAGTTGTTAAACACACTCTTTATAGCCTTGAATTGATTGTGTAAACTTTTAAAATTGCCCCTAATGAACGTTCCTTGTGATAACCTCTATTGTTAATGGAGTTCCTGGTCCAAAAATTGAGCACTTGTTGGCACTTTAAACATTCCTGAAACAAGGATTTGCTGAGAAGAGGGTACTTTGTTCTAAACTTAGTGTTGGCAAAGCTGCCTGTGTGTTCTCTACACTGTGTTGGAAAGACTTTGTCCCACTTAATTATAAAGAATCGGCTCACCTGGACATAATTCATCTATTTATAACAAGGAGAACAAAGAATCAGCCAAACTCAGACAAAAGAGGAGAGTAAGAATTAAAAAGGTGGAGATATCCCAGGTGGAAAAGTTCCTTTCTGCTCTATTTGATACAGATAAAAAAAAATTCCACAGACTCTTGTTTTTTCTTGGGCAAACTTTGAGCCTTCAGAAGCAGGAAATATATATATCAAGTTCTATAAGAATGGGTTGAATTCCTCTGGTGACCCACAGGTTATGTATGAAAAATGTGCCAAACCGAAGCATAAACATATGCAGATCGGACATGAAAAGACAAGCCTCTTAAAATTTATGATCTCATACATATATCCTGTACGTATATAGGCACATAAGTTAGAATCTGTCATCCCTCAACCTGACTGATATGCTTTTTTTCTTTGAGGTTTTGTTGGAGAATGTTCTGTTGAACAGGACCGCAAGTGAGGGGTCTGGGGGAAGCCTCGGATGGGAGCTGGTACGGATGCCTGCTTGAAACTAATCTAGAGAAAGAAATGTTAGGACTGTAATTAAGTGAACACAAAGCAGCCCCTCTTATTCCCACTAGTAACATCCCCCCACGGTTCTGAAGGCTCATCAGTGCTAGAAATGTGAAAAGAAAAGCGGAATCAAATAGACAGAAGACTTAATACAGAGATCTATCCTCTGAGATGACATATATCAGGGCCTGGAGAGGGATCGGGAGACCATTTCTCACCATCCACCACAGCCTGCTTCACTGGCTCTATTCTGGGCACTATTTCAGCCAGATCAGTGAAAGAAGCATTGGGACAGGTTACCTAAATGACAGATAATCAGGGAATTAGTTTGTGAGGAAACAGCCTAATGCTGCAATAAGCAACGCTTATATGAACTCCCTTGCATTAGTGCTCCTGGATTTGTGGAATTCCTCTTGATGTTGGTCTTTGAGCATTGTCTCCCTCACTCCACTCCGGCACCACACGTCAAACACGGTCTTCCCATGCTGGTAGCCAACGTCCTGCAATAACAGAAAAAAGTAATTGCTAGTCAAAGCCAAGGCAACAGAAGTTTCTATAAGATGATGACAGGTCACTCACAGCAATCTCATCAAATTTGCCAAAGTCCAATGTGCCATAGCGATCTATGGGAGGTCGCAGGTACTCGCAGTAGTCACTGTCTTTTACCATCTCCAATTGACGCATAGAACACACGTAAGCCAGACGGGTCTGAATCTCTGCCATGTTCAACACCTAGAGGATATGAAGCCATAAAAATGCATATTTTTGGATGAAAAAGCTTTGACCAGTGAATGCAAGGGAGTAAGGTAATGATGGGAAGCACTTATTTTTTTTATTTTATAAGGGCTTAAAAAGAAAAAAAACTATATTGCACTGTATAAAGGTTTTAAAATGAAGAAAGAAAAGGAAAAAATATCAAATTTGTATATAATATAAATATATATGATATAATTAAATTTCAGATAAATATGACAAATATTTATATACAGCAAGTATATATATATATTATACATATTATTATTATTATTATGTCTAATATGTAATTATATTATTTTTGTAGAAATAGACACACAAACAAATGTTTTGGGATTTGTAATTGAAATGGTTATTCATTTGTAATTGAATAACCCTAATAAATCCCATATTAAATCATCACCATATATCTTCTGACCTTTATTTTCTCTGTAAGAGGGCTCAAGTGTTTCCAGAGCAGCCACCATCCAGATAAAGAGTCTCCATAATTAGTCAGATCGATCTCATCCTGACTGCCAACATCAACGGCAATCACCAACTTGGCACCCATTGAGCGAGCTGTGTCAGCTTTACAGAAATGTAATGTTTAAAATACCATGACAGCTAACATTTCACAATTAGCAGTTTAGAGCTGGGCGACAGGACATTCTACATTTGGCGACAATATAAATGATTATTAACAGATGAAATTTACTATACAGTATATATTGCTTTAGGTGAGTATATGTAAGCAGGTCAAACTTATAAATGTAATACCTATAATAAATGTAAAAAATCTAATTTTGCAGCCTAAGAGTACAATAGGACACTTAACCAGGTAGGTTATTGATGTAGCCTCCATCCATGAGCAAGTGTCCATCTTTAGGGTCACATAAAGGAGGAAGA